CCGGACCCCTGCACCCCAGACACCCCTGAGTGAGACTTGGGGAGCTGTGATCCGAACGCAGATCCACATGTCACAGCTAGGCCCCACGCCCACCCCTGGCTCTGCAACGAGCCAAACCAAAACCCTGGCTCTGAGCTTCCCAGGACTTTGGAGAAATTCACGTCTGGATCTAGATCCAAACTTTGCAGCTGGGGCCTGTCTCTAGGCAGCAGAGGGGAGGAAGAGATTGCTTCACATGGGTTAGTGGGCGGAAGAAGGGCAGAGGCGACACCCCCCCGCCCCCCACCCAGCAATGGCACTGGTGGAGGGTTACGTCCCAGTTGCAGAGCCAGTGAAGGAGGGATGAGTCTAGCTGCTCCCAGCGCAGGGGAGGTCAAGTGTTTGCAATTCAAATATTTGTGTTTGCATTTTCGGTGGGCTTTTCTAGTGCCCCAGAGAGCAAGGGCTGGGGTCTAAGTAACGTGAAATCCAGTCCCCCCAGTACAGAGCAGCTGCCAGATGGTGCAATTGCTGCAAGAAGCCCAGATCTCGCTGTGTGGATCCGTCCGTGGCTCCCAGAGCCAAAAAGCCAACAGGGAGCCGGAAGCTGAGCCACGGAGGCCTAGCAGAGTCTGTAGGAGGCAGAGCCCTGTTCATGGGCTGGCGGGCAGGCTGCAGCCACCTGGAATGATCCCTTGCACCTTTCAGTGCACTGGGCTTTCTGTGGCTGGAGAGCTCTGGGCAGGGATAGCGAGAGGCTGGGAATGGGCGGCCGGGGATGGGTCACTTGGTGACTATCTGTTCTGTTCATTCCCTCTGGGGCACCTGGCACTGGCCACTGACGGGAGACAGGACACTGGGCTAGACGGAGCTTTGGTCTGACCCAGTCTGGCCATCATGGGCGGCACGTGAAGCACTGGTTGGGGGAGGCTAGCCCCCAGCCCCGCCACTTCCACGCTCCCCGGAACCCAGAGTCACCCCACCGCAGCTGCCACCCCACCCCGGGCTGGCTAGTGCCCACAGCCGCCACAGCCCCGGGAAGGTGGGCAGGGTGGCTCCAGTCCCTGGAGCCCTGCCTGGGGGTGCAGGTGGAGGGTGGGGGGGGGACTGGGGCTGGAGTGTGGGCGGGGCCACACCTGCCTGTTTGGGGAGGCACAGCCTCCCCCAGCCTCCCTTACCTGCCCCCCACGATGGCCGTTCTTATCTTATGATCTGAGCCAGGGGGCTGGGGCGGGAGCGTGAGATGACTGCTCCCCAAGGCAGACTGGGGTCCCCGCTACACAAACACCATCAGACGACAGCTCAGCTCATTCTCCTGCCGGACACAGAGAGCCTGGCCTGCTCGAAGTGCGACTGCGAAGACATCTCCCATTAGCAGAGGTCTGGGTCTGATGGCAGCAGGGAGGGGCCAAAACCACCCTCATATGCTCAGCGAGAAAGGAGGCGAGGGCTGGCCTGGTGAACAAAGGGACTTTACGCCACTTGGGCTACTGTTTCTGCCCGCCATGACCATCCCTGGGCAAGGGCGGCTGGGCATACGGGGCACTCTGCCAGTCACCTCAGGCCTGAGCCCTCTACGGCATGGCTCGTTAGTCTTCTACAAGGCATGGGCCAATCTCTCCCCTGGTGTAAATGGGCACAAATCCACTCACATCGCTGACGCGGCTTCTTCTTACAGCCCAGCTGGCTCTGGCCCACGGTTTGTGATTGCTCTGACCCACTGCAATGCGGCAGAGTTGCACCAGGGCGGGTGTATTTAATACCCAGGCAGAGCCTTGTGCCCTCCTGGCCAGGGGGCTCAGGAAATACGCCCATTGTTGTTTGACAAGCAGGGTGGGGATGAACGCAGCAGTGGTGCGGGGCAGGTGGGAGGGAGCAGTGAGCCAAGCAGCAGCACGTAACGAGGCACAGACCTGTCCCGGCGTAGCATGGAGGAGATTGTGGCAGACGGCGGCAAGACGGCTCTTGTCAGAGATCTGGGGTTGTGTCCCCCCTTCTCTGGCCTGGTGCTATAGCTAATTACCAGGGAGCATCAACGCCAGGGCCCCCCTCTCCTGCCCATCGGATAGTGCCCGTTAGGTGTCCTGGGTAATTTTCCCAGCAGTAATGCAAACAGTGTGTTAACGAGAGGAATTTGGGCCCCCTGCCCTGCCACCCCATGTTTGTTTAAGGAGTGGTTTGAAAAGCCATCAGGGGAGAAATGGACCTTGGAGAGGAGAGGAGGGGAGGGGGCGTGGGTGGGGGCAAAGGGAGGTATGATCGAAAGCTAGTGGGAAAGACACGTCGGGGAGCCAGGGAACCGGAGGGCGGCGTTCCTCAAAGCAAGCTAGGAGACTGCCCGTGTGGGCCTAGGTGCAAAGGAGAAGCCCTCATGACCTGGACCGAGGATCCCTGCAGGGGGTACTGCCAGCCCTGGACAGGGCGTCTCACTCTGGCTCTGTCTACACTGCAGTCAGGAGGTTTGAGTGCAGGTCGGGTAGACGCAAGCTTTGATTGAGTGTGTACTCAGGGTCCCGGGCGGGTCTGGCCCCTGCCGCCACTCCTAGCGAGAGCAAAGCCAGCTCTGAACTGCCTGAACTGCAATCACGCCTCCTGACTGCAGCATAGATGGACCCTCTCTCTCTGGCAAGACCAGCTGCCCAAAAGAGCTTACAATCTGCAAAGACATGACAAAGGAAGGGTTGCTATCCCCATTTCACAGACAGGGAATTGAGGCCCACAGAGCTTGCAGCAGGATTGCCAGGCATTTAGGACTGTGAGCTAAGAGAAGGGCTGATGCATCCCCTGCAAATGCCTGGTATTGCTACAAATGGATCTGACTATGGGCAGAACCTGCTTTAGGGACGGGAGAACAGAGCCCTTGTTGCCAATTTCCACGGATGGCAAATCAAGATTGGGGGGAGGGTGCGGAAATTTCCAGACTGCCGCTCGAAAGAGGGAGGGCGTGTGCCCTGGGCAGCAAACACCAGAATACCTAGGCCTAGTGCTGACAGTGGGCATTTAGTACAAGACCAAGCACACAGGCTAGAGTGGTTGGGACAAGAATTTAGCAACATAAGAACGGCCATACTGGGTTGGACCAAAGGTCCATCTAGCCCAGTATCCTGTCTTCTGACAGTGGCCAGTGCCAGGTGCCCCAGAGGGAATGAACAGAACAGGTAAATATCAAATGATTCATCCCCTGTCGCTCATTTCCAGCTTCTGGCAAACAGAGACTAGGGACACCATCCCTGTCCATCCTGGCTAATAGCCATTGATGGACCTATCCTCCATGAACTTATCTAGCTCTTTTTTGAACTCTGTTATAGTCTTGGCCTTCACAACATCCTCTGGCAAGGAGTTCCACAGGTTCACTGTGTGTTATGTGAAAAAATACTTCCTTTTGTTTGTTTTAAACCTGCTGCCTATTAATTTCATTTGGTGACCCCTAGTTCTTGTGTTATGAGAAGGAGTAAATAACACTTCCTTATTAACTTTCTCTACACCGGTCATGATTTTATAGACCTCTATCATATTCCCCCTTAGTCATCTCTTTTCCAAGCTGAAAAGTCTCATTCTTATTAATCTCTCCTCATATGGAAGCCGTTCCATACCCCTAATCATTTTGTTGCCCTGTTCTGAACCTTTTCCAATTCCAATTTATCTTTTTTGAGATGGGGAGACCACATCTGCACGCAGTATTCAAGGTGTGGGCGTACCATGGATTTATAAAGAGGCAATATGATATTTTCTGTCTTATTATCAATCCCTTTCTTAATGATTCCCAACATTCTGTTCACTTTTTTGACTGCCGCTGCACACTGAGTGGATGTTTCAGAGAAACCTCCTTCCCCAGCCACCAAGCCAGCTCCTCGCTCCCAACTGAGATAAAGCAGGAATCCTTCTAAAAATCCTGGATTGCAAAGTGCTCTCAAAGTCCCCAAAGCAAAAGGAGACAAACAATATCAAACAGAGGGATCAAGCTGCAGCGTCAGTGCTGGGAAACCAGCTGGCAGAAGAACTGGGTCACTCTAGATATGGTCCTAGGAGAAGTCCTGGGCCCCCTGAATCCAGGGCCATGTGGGGGCAGGGCAAAGGCGCAGTTTGCCTCGTCCCCCCCCATTTGAGAGGGCCCCACACCGAGTGGTGTTGTGACCTGCTGCAGGGGGTTGCAGAACCACCCAGGTTTGGCCTGGCTGCCCCTCCATGATGGATCAAACCTGTGTGACCCTGTGCCCCAGGCCGTGATACTCAGAGCAGGGACAGGACCCCCACTGCAGAGTGAGTCCAGGGCGGGCTCACTCTGTCCCCCGGGACATCCACTCAGAGGTATTTTTTTTCTGAAAAGGGGCTCAGGTCCACGTTTTGCACCAGGCTCCCAAAATACACGGCCCCGCCTGGATCGCAGGGCTGAACGTCCTGGGTTCTCTTGCTCGTGCCAGAGGGACAAGCTGCTCCTTTCTCATTGGTTCCTCCAGGACAGGAGTTTTGCTTCTAAAGAGGATTTGGCAGCCCCAGGGATGACCCGAACGACATCTCTAAGGGACCCTAAATCACTCCTAAAGTGCCCTCGCTGGAGTTCGTGTTCCTCTAAGCTCTAGGACGAGCTTTGGCTGGGATGTATTCCCGGCGGATTTTCCTTGCAGCGGAGTCAGTCAAATACAGGCCCCAGCCCCTCAGATATTATAAATAGAAACGGGCAGGGAAATATATTTGCCTCCATGTCACTTCCCTGCACCCTGCAGGGTCACAGCTGGTGCTGATCAGGGAGGGACAGACTGGGAAATGTGGCTGTGCTGGGACCATGGGGGAGAATCTAAAGCGGGGGCCGGCAGGGGAGGTTTGGGGCTGGAGCTGAGCAGAGACCTCATCCCTGCCTGCAGGATGGGAGAGTTTCTCTTCCCATTTCTCGCTGGGGTCACTCCACGGGTCCTTGGAGGAGCAGGCAGATAGCCAGGGTCCAGGCAGAGGAGAAAGGGGGGAGGCAGCCCAGGAGAGGGACAGAGGCAGGGGGTGGGTGGGTGGGTATGTGTGTCTGTGTGTGTGTGTGAACATTTATGATTACATGTGAAACTTGAGCTCCCTGCAGTGGGCTAGGAAAGAAAAAAGACAGAAGTATTGTTTTTAAACACTTTTTTTTCCCGCAAGAGGGCCAGGGCTGCTGCATAGCCAGGAGAATGATAAAAGGGTTGGGAGAGCTGGGGCTGCTTGGAGGGGCGAGGACAGAGGAAGTGCCAAAATTACATGATTTAGACTTCATTTAAAGAGCCCAATAACTTGTCCTGTGCAAACAGTGGCTTGAAAACTGCAGCCTGGAGCACAATGTCCCCTCCCCCTCGGCAGCTTTCGGCTAGGAACAGGGAGTGTGGGGTCTAGCTGGGGCGGTGTGTGGAGCAGCTGGAGCAGAGGTCTCAGAGCACCATGCACGGTGTAAATCTCAAGCTGGTGGCCTTTGCCTGCATGACGGTGGCTTTCTGGGCGGACGGTGGCCAGTGGAGGGTGACAGGTGGCGGGAGCAGGCGGCGATCCCACCGGGTCCAGCACGGGCAGTGCAGTTACACTTTCGTCCTGCCCGAGGCCGATCCGCAGCCCTGCCCACCCACGAGGGCGACCCTCCGGGCCAACACGCTGCAGGGGGACTCGCCCGCCGCCACACTGCAGACCCACAACTGGTCCGCACAGCGCGTGCAGCAGCTGGAGAGGGTCCTGGAGAACACCACGCAGTGGCTGCTGAAGGTAAGGGGCGCATCTGGCTGCGGGAGTGGAGGGGCCACAGTGGGGAGAAGGTTCTCATCACCACTGCCATGCCCCTTGTCTCATTACCCTCAGGGCAGGCGCCCTGATGCTCCGGTGATGCGCACGGAGTGGAATGATGAATGGAGGGATGATGGGCAGGGGGAGTTCCTACTCCACTGGACGACTCAGTGGGCCCAGGTTTGGGTCCAACTTCCAAGACCTTTAATGATCTGGCTCCCAAGCACCTTCCTGAGCTTCTGTCCCTGTGAATTCTATCCCATCCCCTGAACCTCGGCGGGATAGGTCTGTCATGGCCAGGAAGGGACCTGCTCCTGTCATTGCCTGGGTACCGCCAGAGCTATGGGATAGCTCCTTGACTGACCCAGAGTTAGCTCCTTTCAAGGCAGATTGGAAACACTGGGCTGAATTCTGCACTGGCTTATGCCCCCTGCCATCCTACTGGCCAGGTTCATCTCTTGTGCAACTTCACGGAGCGTAGTGGACTCTCACAGGGGAGAACTCTGGTCAGAATCGGGCCCCCTTGATTCCAGAAGGCTTGTTTAGTACTTTAGTACTTGTTTAATGTTTCATCTTGATGTTAACTGGTGCTGTATGCTCACATGATTTCAGTCACTTGTGGCCCTGCCATACATTCATCGTACCCTCGGCTCACCTATTGATTTCATGCAGGATCTGGCACTGATTCTCTCTGGTTTACTGTAAAACACCTGGGGAAATTCTGGCAGAGCGAGGGACGGGGGCTGGGTCAGACCTCTAGAACGTCTCATTTTTTAAACGTAAGGTTTTGCAAAACTTTTTGGAGCTCCGTGAAGCTTTGCACATCATTTGCTTTTTGTGGGAACAGCCATTGCAATAAATGTGTGTCTAGCCCAACAGATGCTTGTGCCAGGCAAACAATAAAGGCTGTGATTGTCAAAGCCACCTAGTCAACGTGGACACCAAATTCCCACTAACATTCCTGGCCATGAGGCAGCCATATCCCCAAAGAGGCATTGCAAACCACAGCCAAAGGGTTGTGCTTGACAGTCCCTCCTGCCCAGGGAATGACATCGACCTGTCCAGAACCCGTGTTTTGCCAGAGATGAGTGGAACTAGAACCTCCAGAGGCTGGGGCTCTTTCCAGATCTCTAGCACCCACAGGGTTTGGAGTGGGGTCAGAATTTGGTAGAACGAGATCTTTTTCCCCACCCTCCAACTCTTAGCTCAGAGGAGTGATAAACCTGGTTCTGCAGTTCCAGGGGATGAAGTGCTCCTGGTCTCAGGTTAGGGCTTCCCCTCTTCACACTGTTGTCACTCAGGCCAGGGGACCTCACCACTCCAATTAGTCCAGACAGCCACTGGGGGGTGAGCTGAAAGCCTGTCGCAAAGTGGAAACTGGAGCAGCGTGACTGAAGACAGGCAGGATGGGAAATGCTCCCACGCTGGCATGGACACTGCAAGCGCAGCTGTGTGCGGTGTGGGTGTATTGGGCTCTGGGGAAAGCACAAGAGAAGGCAACATGAGTAAGGCTAAACTGGAGGCTTTGTCCTCTGCCCGGAGGGGCAGGGGGCTTCCTGTCCCCATAGCCCTGCTGCCGTACTCACAAGCAGGCAGGGGAAAGAAGAGACTGAGTGCGGGTGTGTCCATGGAGACACACGCCCGCCTCATGATGATGGGACACTTCATGAACACTCCTCTCTGTGCCCTGGGTGCCAGCTGGGAGCACAAGCCACACGGCAGCCACACAGCCGCCCTGCTCGGCACTGTGTGTCTCTGCGTGCAGCACTTCACACCTGCTCTGTGCCGTATCAGCCCCTGGGTGTGTCACTGCACATCAGAGAAGAGCTGCATGCCATGAGATCCCTCAAACCCTCCTGCCCATTCAGAGCAGTACAGGATCTCCAGAGTCCGATGGACAGCAGCCTGGACACTTTAGAGGGGCCTGAACCAAAACTCCAGATCTCAGCTTCAATGGGGAGGATATCTGAAAACAGAACTGGATCCAAATGGCCCCAAAACTTTATATTGAGCCAAACCCAAACCCGAGGCCTAAAACAGAAAACTTCTGGGTGTTTGGGATCTGGCTCCAGAGGAGAGCTCTGTGGTGAGAGCCTCTATCGACCCATTACTGCTTAACCCCCCAGGTGAAGTGAGGGGGCTGAAGGCTGTACTTAGGGTATGATTCTAAAGCTCAGTGTGGATGGCCAGATAGCTGGAATCCCAGAGCAAAAGCTAAGCCTGGAACAAGATCCTCCACGGTTAGCAAAGAAGAGCTCTGAGACACCCTCACACCAGAAAGCAGACTCTGGTTTCCTCCTCCTTCCATTCAAGTCAATCGCAAAGCTCGCGTTGATCTCCATGGGACCAGGATTAGCCCTGGCACACAACAAAATCTGTCCACAGGAACCTTGCTGCAGTTGCATGTTGACTCTGACCCTCAGGGTGGGAGGATCCACTCTCGGAATAGCATATGAGAATGCCGTGAAATCCACATACCTCGTCACGTGGGAATGCTGCCTGGGAAATGGGCAGAGGTTCAAGATGCTCACTTGTTTCATACCCTTTCCCCAGCTGCCAGACAGTGACGGTTCTCTTGACTCTGTCAGGACTCGGCTTATCTGACCAGAGCTGTCAGCAGAGTCTCCAAAGCGGCGAACCCAGCTCTGAGTCACTGCAGCCCTTCCTCACAGGCCACAGCATAGCGCCAGGTTCCAGAGCTGATCCTGGCAATTACAGGTCAGTGAACCAAGCTCCAGCCCCAGACAAACTGTTTGAAACGATAGTAAAGAATAAAATTATCAGACGCAAAGATAAACATAATATGTTGGGGCTGAGTTAACGTGGCTTTTGTAGAGAGAAATCACGCCTCACCAATCTATTAGAATTCTTTGGGAAGTCAACAAGCATGTGGACAAGGGTGATCCTGCAGATATAATATACGTGGACTTTCAGAAAGCCTTTGACAAGGTCCGTCACCAAAGGCTCTTAGTAAGCAGACGTGGGATAAGAGGGAAGGTCCTCGCATGGATCAGTAACTGGTTACAAGATAGGAAACAAAGGGTAGGAATAAATATCATTTTTCACAATGGAGAAAAGTAAATAGCAGGGTCCCCCCAGCATCTGTAGTGGGACCTGTGCTGTTCAACATATTCATAAATTATCTGAAAAAAGGAGTGAACAGTGAGGTGGCAAAATTTACAGATACAAAATTACTTAAGACAGTTAAGTCCAAAGTTGACTGCAAAGAGTTACAAAGGGATCTCACTAAACTGGGGGACAAAATGATAGATGAAATTCAGTGTTGACAAAAGTACTCCACATTGGAACACATAATCCCAATGATACATCCAAAATGATGGGGTTTAAATTAGCTGTTACCACTCAAGAAAGAGATCTTGGAGTCCTCATGGATAGTTCTCTGAAAACATCTTCTCAATGTGCAGTGGCAGTCAAAATGCTAACAGGATGTTTGGAACCATTAGGAAAGGGATAGACAAGAAGACAGAAAATATCACAATGCCATTATATAAATCCATGCTATGCTCACATCTTGAATACTGTGCATAGTTCTGGTCACCTTATCTTAAAAAAGATATATTAGAATTGGAAAAGGCGCAGAGAAGGGCAACTAAAATGATTAGGGGTATGGAACAGCTTCCATACAAGGAAAGATTAAAAACACTGGGACTGTTCAGAGAACAGATGACTAAGGGGGGATATGACAGAAATCTATAAAATCATGACTGGTGTGAAGAAAGTGAATAGGCGAGTGATATTTATCCTTCCCATAACACAAGAACCAGGGTCACCCGATGAAATTAATAGGCAACAAGTTTAAAACAAACCTAAGGAAGTGTTTCTTCACACAACGCACAGACAACCTGCGGAAATTTTCCCAGGTGTAAGTGGGGGAACAGTCCCGCTATTGTGGGAAACTTTCCTGACTTCTGCACTACCCCGGTGAAGTGGGCTAGCGAAAGATCTGAGACCTCGCTCCCACTTCCTTTACCCAGTGGCCTCCCTGCCCTTGAGGATTCCCCTTCCACTCTCCTGTCTGGCAGAGTCCTCGTAACTCCAACAAGGCTGGGCCCAGGATTCCTGGGGGGCTCGACCCCCAACCCTGCTGTGGTCACCTAGGACAGGGGCTAGGGTGTCCCCACTCCGGGGTACTCTCTCTGCACTGGGCACTTCTCTGACCCACTGACCATTACATACAAGTTAAAGCAAATGCAACTTATTTAATCAACAATTAATTTTAAAAAGAATAAGGAAAAACGGGAAAGGTTAAAGGAAACACATCAGCCCGCTCTGCGGCAGGGAACATCACAAACAGTGTCTCTGGAACGTCAGGGCAGTTCACAGTCTGCTCCTTGTAAGTCCCAGGCCTTCTTCTCCGGCCCTGGCTGTGCTGCAGGGATGCTGTGGGTTGGACACTTGCTCTGGTGGTGGCCACACGCTTTCAGGCTCTAAGTGCCAGGACCCTTTTCGCAGTGCCGCCCCCGCCCTGTCGGGGTTACGATCCAAGCCTGGCCTGCAGAGCCTCTTGGCGGAGGCGTCTCCCTGTGCTGGGCCCACTGCCCAGGGTCCCCCTCGCTCTCCCCAGCTGCTCACCGCACCCAGCTCCGGACTGCTCCAGCCCCAGCTCCAGCTCCACCGCTCGGTCTCAGCACCGCTGCTGCTCTGCCTCCAGCTCCCTGGGCTGCTTCTTTGGCCCCTCTGGCTCTGGTTGCTGCAGCTCTGCTCCCAGGACAGGTCTGCTCTGCAGGCTGCTTCTGTGACTCTGCTCCCAGCCCTGACCTGCTTCCTGGGCTGCTTTTCTGGCCCCTCTGGCTCTGGTTGCTGCAGCTCTGCTCCCAGGACAGGTCTGCTCTGCAGGCTGCTTCTGTGACTCTGCTCCTAGCCCTGACCTGCTTCCTGGGCTGCTTTTCTGGCCCCTCTGGCTTTGGTTGCAGGGCAAGTCTGCTCTCTCTCTGGGCTGTGCCTCTGGCTTTGGGGCTGCA